CAATCAATGAAATATTATTGGCAGTTATTGTATTCTTAATTCATTTCCCAACCTTGAGACGTGCCCCCTCTGTGGATTGCCTATGCTTGTACTAACTCTGTAAATGTATCTACGATTGATTTTAAAACAGAACACCAGGGCAACTTCAACCCCCAAACAAGAAAAATACCATCCAACTGTGAATAGCCAGTGGAGCATTAAAACGGTTTCTTCTCTGCCCGACATAATTGCAGAGCCCAGAGAGAAGCAACGTTTCCCCAAACCTGGCTTCCCATTAGAGCGAATAAACGTCAACTGGAAAATCAGGAACTGAAAATGCCATATGAGGTCTTCCGACATATAAAATACTCAGAAGTCTCTGCAGTTCAGGAAGAATTCCTGAAACTGCCTGGCCCTTTCCAGCTTGAACGGCAAACAAATATTTTTTACAAGTTTCTGTTGTAATTGCACATTGTTATGCATGGGCTCTTATTCCCAAATCAAACACACTCCATGGGTTTCCAGTGATAATGGCATTGGATGCCCATTGATGTACTACTGTTGGTTTACCATTCTGGAGAGCGAGTAGTTTTCACAAAAAGTGCTTTTTTTTTTAAGAAAAAAAAAACAACCCTAAATAAATAAAATGCCAAGTTTTTCCCTTGCAGATTTGAACCCCAGACTTTATTTAACCTTGGATACTAGATTTAGGCTATAATCATTAAAAAACAACTATATGAACCTACTCTATGGCCCAACAGTGAGTTCCTGTAGCCACTCTCTCATCCATCTGTGTGTCGTGGGTTTCTGTACCAATACTTCCTCTCTTTCCCACATTGTTTTTCAAACTAACAATCTTTCTTGTCATCCTCTTAACTTATCCTTTCCATAGTTCTCCATGCCTGGTCTATGATCTTTCCTCCTTACCTGTTTGAAAGGATTGGTAACTTTGGGTGATTGCTCACTGTGTTTAGTGTCTGTTGACCTAAGAGGTCTAAGAAAGTATGTTTCCAGGAGTATTCTGTTAAGGGAAACAAGTCCGTCAGAGAAAGGCAATTATCACATGATCTCACTCATATGTGGAATCTAATGAACAAAATAAACTGATCAACAAAATAGAATCAGAGACACAGAAGCATGTCGAATCTCAGAGGAAAGGTGGGGGAGGGTGGGAGACATTAACTGGGGAATTTATATGCATTTCCCACGGACAAAGACAATAGTGTGGTGAAGGCCTGGAAGGGGTGGATGTGGAGTGGAGGGGGTCAATGGGGAATAAAAGGGGGACAGCTGTAATACTTTCAACAATAAAGATTAAATTTTTAAAAAAAAAACACAGTTAACAACAACAAATGCAAGTATATTTCAAGGTCTGTAATACTAGAAGCAAAAGAGAGTTCT